GTCACAGCGCGTCTGAGTGCCTGCGTTCGTATGCATGTTCGCGTCTTTGCCTTTGTGTCAAATTAGATAAAAACAGATCTCAATGACGTTCCCACGCTCTCCCCTTCTCATGTTAATTAATATTGATAAAGCGACCCCGCCAACCCACATTTCATGCAGTGTGCTATTGCAGTGGCAATCTTGCACGTGTGTTTCATTCATAAATTTCACTCTGAGTATAACTTGTCAAGCTGTTGCAACCGTTAGTAATAAGTAAATAGTAACGCGTATGATATACTTCGCAATATAGTCAATGGTAATGATAAGAGTCAGTGGCAATAAAATGATGTAATCAAAATAATCTATGATATCTAAAAGAGATGATGGATAGTAATAATTATAGTCTGTGGTCATATGAGTGGTGTAAATAGGCAGTAATAATATTGGTTTCAATGATGATTATTACAACGATAACAGTAATGCGAATAACGGTAATAATGATAATAATGATAATAATAATATTAATAACTAACAATAATGGGAACAATAACAATAATAGCAATAATATAAGTGATAATGATAGTAGTAGTAGTTGTTTTAGTAGCAGTAGTAGTGCTAGTATTACCAATAATGATAGTCTATTGCAATAGTAATATAAAAAAAATCATAGCTTTTGACATAGATATGTTTCATGAATATTCCACATTGGACAGACAAAGGCAGTAATCACCATTATTGTCCTTTCCTTCCAGAAAGAAAAGGGAGAGAAAAAAATATTCAATACTTTTAAAATACTAAATGAAAGTTCATTAATGTTGAATAAGACATTTTGTTCATACTCATATAATTCGATACTCATACAATCATTGTCTTATAAAAAAAATAATCTCGAAATAATAAAAAAAACGAAAGTGGAGAGTAGTATTATTAAAATTCATTGTAGAAATTATAGTAAAGGCAACGGTAGCTGTAACAGTGGCTGTAGTAAGAATGGGAGACGCAGAAATTATAAAATATTCATAGTACAAGGAATAACAAAAGTAGTCTTTGCGATACTTACTGCAGTGCAATAATGAAGCCAAGTATCAATTAGCATTACCAATTCATTAGCATTCTTACTACGAATTATAGTAGCTATAATATCATCAACAATAACAATAAAAACAACAGCCTCTAACACTAAAAGCATTACGCTATTGAAAATCCCAGGGCTTAAAACAACACAGAATCTCTCCCACAAACAATATAAATTCTTTCTACGGACTCCATCCCGCTACTAAAATGGAGCCGCCAGGATTTTAAACTCAAAAAAGCCCCCCACGGTGAAGGATAAAGAATAACAGAAAATATTCCCAACTGCTCAAGGAATTCGGTATTTCTTTTGTGGCTCCGAACCCGCGGGGAAGGAATTTTTTAAAGCCAAATTAAAATCAGATCTGGCGGAGAGCATCGCGTCCTGAAGGCAGGGGAGCGCTCGCCTCTCTCACTCTCTCTCTCTCTCTCTCTCTCTCTCTCTCTCTCTCCTCTCTCTCTCTCTCTTCTCTCTCTCTCTCTCTCTCTCTCTCTCTCTCTCTCTCTCTCTCTCTCTCTCTCTCTCTCTCTCTCTCTCTCATCTCTCTCTCTCTCTCTCTCTCTCTCTCTCTCTCTCTCTCTCTCTCTCTCCTCTCTCTCTCTCTCTCTCTCTCCTCTCTCTCTCTCTCTCACTCTCTCTCTCTCTCTCTCTCTCTCTCTCTCTCTCTCTCTCTCTCTCTCTCTCTCTCTCTCTCTCTCTCTAGGATCTGCGTTTTGGGAACAAAGGTGGACGGATTCGCGAATTCTCATTGGCAACTTTGATATCATTATTATTATCATTATTAGCATCATCTTTTTCGTCATTATGATTGTTGTTGCTCTTTATTATCATTATTATTACCGTTATTACAGATATCATTATTATCATCACTATCATTATTAACGTTATCATTATCACTGTTTCATTATTATCATCATTATCACTGTTATCATTATTATCATTATTATCATCATTATCACTGTTATCATTGTTATTATCATTATTACCGTTATCATTATCATTATTACCGTTATCATTATCATTATCACTTTAATCACTAACATTATCGTTATCATTATCATTATTACCGTTATCATTATCACTGCTATCACTATCACTATCACTTTATCACTATCACTTCACCGTTATTAGTATTATTATCATTATCACTGTTATTACTATCGTTATCATTATTACCATTATCACTATCATTATCAAGATTATAATTACCATTTAACGTAACACATATCGCTCCATTGACTCTGCAAGTGTAAAGATTAAATATAAAGTAACGAAAAGAGAAGACAAAAGAACGAACAAAAACGGAACAATACCGTAAAAATACAAAATAAGAATGCGTATTTTTCTCAATAAACAGAGCCATAACCATTGTGTTACAAGCCGATATAAAGTAGAAGAAGCAATGTGTGTGTAACATAGATAGACCAGATAGATAGATAGTGGGGCAGCTGAGAGAGAGAGGAAGAGAGGATACAAAGAGTAAGAGAGAACAATAAATATATAGACAAGATAGAGTAGAGATAGAAATAGAGATAGATAGATTAGATAGATAGATAGGATGAGAGGAGAGGAGAGCACGAGAAGAGGAGATAGAGAGTATTGAGAGAGAGAGAGAAGCAGAGAAGAGAGAGGAGCCAGAGGATAGGATATATTATTATATATATATATATATAACATTGCATAACATATATAATATATATATATATATATATATGATATATATATATATATATATATATATATATATAGAGAGAGAGAGAGAGAGGAGAGAGAGAGAGACGAGAGATGAGAGAGAGAGATGAGAGAGAGAGAGAGAGAGAGAGACGAGAGAGCCAGAGAGATAGAGAGAAGATAGATAGATAGATAGACAGATAGATAGAGATAGATAGATAGATTAGAGAGAGAGAGGGGAGAGAGAGAGAAAAAAAACAAAACATTAACAAGCAATTTAAGGTCACTGGAAAGAACCGTCCCTTTTACGTAAACAGGGAAAGCGGACAGTATTAACGAACAGCCTCTAGTGTTAAAGTCATTTTACGTTCTTGCTGTTTCGTAACTTTCTCGAACTTCACATATTCTAATTAATATAACTAATTTGACCTTATGTAATCTCGAGATGACCTTAATTGAGCGATCCTCAACTTACCCTAGTCCCAACTTTACAAAAAAAAAGATATCCCTGACATAAATCTAAACGATTTACCTAACCTATCCTAACTTAGTCTAATCTATCCTAACTCACCTAACTCCAATCCAAACTTAATTCAGACTATACTAACTTAACCAAAGCATCCAACAACCTAATAACCATGACATAAGCTTAAATTGAATATCCCAACCTAACAATTCCCTAACTTAGTCTAATCTATCCTAACTCAAATACCTAACCAATCCAAATCCTTAATTAACAAAAAAATTCTAACTAAAAAAACAACCTAACATCTAAATCTATATCTTGATTTACCCAAACCTAACCTATCCCAATTTAACCCGATCTATTTATCTAGCCCCACCCTAACCAGTCCCTAACTTTACTTATTTGCGAATGTAGTGTTCCGTTCCGATTAAGAGACACCAATCAATAATACGTCCATTATTCATCATTTATCACGGTTCACACAGTATGTACACCTATTGTCTACATGTACGTATTTCTCTGCCATTCTTTACGTCCCTTATAATTCATCATTTATCACGTGCACACAGTATGTATACCTATTGTCTACATGTTACGTATTTCTTCTGCCATTTTTTACGTCCCTTGTTATTCATCATTTATCACGTGCACACAGTTATGTACACCTATTGTCTACATGTACGTATTTCTCCTGCCATTTTTACGTCCCTTGTTATTCATCATTTATCACGTTCACACAGTATGTACACCTATTGTCTACATGTACGTATTTCTCTGCCATTTTTTTACGTCCCCTGTTATTCATCATTTATCACGTTCACACAGTATGTACAACTATTGTCTACATGTACGTATTTCTCTGCCATTTTTTTACGTCCCTTGTTATTCATCATTTACACGTTCACACAGTATGTACACCTATTGTCTACATGTACGTATTTTCTCTTGCCATTTTTTACGTCCCTTGTTATTCATCATTATATCACGTTCACACAGTATGTACAAACTATTGTCTACATGTACGTATTTCTCTGCCATTTTTTACGTCCCTTATTATTCATCATTTATCACGTTCACACAGTATGTATTACCTATTATCTACATGTACGTATTTCTCTGCCATTTTTTCTCGTGTTTGGAAGTGTCTGTGGAAGGCCTTGGATGCGCCTTAGCTTTTCAGACTGTTTCCTTACCTTAAATGTTTTATTACATATATATATATATATATATATATATATATATAATATATATATATTATATATATATATATATATATTTTTTTTTTTTTTTTTTTTTTTTTTTTTTTTTTTTTTTTTTTTTTGTGGACTTCCTTCATTGAGAGTGTGGACTTTCCTTCGTGGAGTTTGTGGACTTTCCTTCGTGGAGTTTGTGGACTTTCCTTCGTGGAGTTTGTGGACTTTCCTTCGTGGAGTTTGGTGGACTTCCCGTAACAGACTTTCCTTCGTATCCGGATTTGTTGTTGTTGTTGGTATGATAGACATTATGTTTGGATGCTTTGATGCGTTTCTAACCGACTGATTTTCCTTTATCTTTTTTTCGACGGTATCTGTATCTGTAATATTTATTATTATCTATATTTTAAAATCTGTTTTGATTGTTTTTAGGCAGTCTACTTATATTACTGTATATTTTGAGATATATCTCTTCTTCGCCTTTTTTATCGCAATTTCTTGAATATCTGTTTGTCTGGCTTTGTCTTTTCTCTCTGTCTGTTTGTTCTCTCTCCCTTTCCCTTCTTCCCTCTTCTAAATATTTTTTTCTCTCTGTCTATCTATCTACATGACTATCCATCCATCCTCTATCTCACGCACGCCCTCCTCCCCAGACTACCGACAGTGCTACAACTTCACGTGGGCGGGAGACCAAAACAGCACCACCTGTGAGGACCGTAGCCCGCCCTGTATCCTGCCTCTTGTTTTTACTGGTGAGTTATTTATGTGTATATATGTATGTTTATATGTATTACAGGCATATTCAAAGAATAAATAAAAAGACAAAACACACACACACACACACAACACACACACACACACACACACACTATATATATATATATATATATATATATATATATATATATATATATACTGGGGAGAAGGGAACTGCCCCTCCCACCCAGCGAGGCAGGCTGTGAGTCCCATGGGAGGGCGACTTCTGTGGCTCAGGATGGGAACGAGAGTTACTCGTCCCTCCTGCGCTCTAGCCGCCACCAACCCAGTGTGAGGCCTGTGGAGCAAAGTACCTCGGGCACCCCAAAGGCAGACGTTGGGACCTACAGCCTACTGCCTCCTTTTATATGGGGCAACGTCGGCGGGGGTGGCAGAGGTGGCGTCCACCCAGAGCAACTACCCAAGGTTTAACCTCAGGCGTTGGAACATCTGGTCTTGCAGCAGATGATAGATTATCCCTACTATCGAAGGAACTGGAGCACCTGGGAGTTGAGGTGGCGCTCTCTCAGAGGTCAGATTGTACAGAGTGACTTCGATATGGTATCCAGCTGTGATTGAGCTGGCTACGAGATGTCTGTCCGTCCCCATGGCTTGGGATCTGATATCAGTAGTGAGAACACCCTCCTTCTCCGGGGCTTTGCTAGGTCCCAGAGAATGAGGATATCTGACTCCGGGTATCAGCGCTCCAACCCACATCGCTGGACTTGGTTTAGCGATATGGGAAATGTGGCCAAAGAGATTGACCACATCCTTGTTAGAACTCGCTAGAAGATCCTCCTGAACTGCAGGGTTTACCGGACTCTGCTGAGAAGGGATGAGGAACAGTTCATCAGGAATCTTGCTAAGGTAGAAGACCATTTCCAAGTAAATGACCTTCGTCCTGCCTACCAAACCCTGTGAAAACTAAACCCCAGGCTCTCCTCAGATGACTGCATGCTGCTTAGTGGATGGACGGTTCATCTCGGATCATGCTGGGGTTTTGAGCAAATGTATCAGGCAGAACCCCCAGCAATCCCTGTACCGGACCCACCCATCAGTGAAGAGCTCCTACCCTGAATGAGCTTAGGAAGGCGATCTCTAAGCTGAATAGTGGGAAAGCTGCAGTCATATGCGATATCCTTGCTGAACTACTAAAAACTGTGGGTGAACCTATGGCACTGGGTTTGCATACTGTCCTTGATATCATTGGGCAGTTCGGTTCCATTCCCCCTGACCTGTAGAGGGGCATGGCCGTCCCTCTCTGCACGGGGAAAGGGGATCGTTGGGGCTGCAGCAACTACT